ATATAGTGTCACCTCTGAATGTTATCAATTTCTGGTTTAGCTTTGACTTGATGTTTATGCACTGAGATAATATGCTGGAATAAACAAAAATGATTATACTCTAAAAGGTAATGGTTTTAAATCTATAGTAAATATTTATGATAAGTAGATAAGGCACTTTATAACATACCTCTAAATGTATAAATCTCAAATCTTAAAATTAGAATTCAAACCCTGCAAGGGGCTACTCACTACCCCCATTAGGCCCACAAGGAAAATTAGGACTTTTATCTAGGCTTTGTTATTCCATCTTAGTGCTGCCTACATTTTATGTGAAAGGAATATATCTGCCAAAAACGCACTCAGAATTCCACTGCTAACAGATACTTGTAAAAATAAAACTTTTGAAAACACATAAAGAGAAGAAACAGCATGTTCTGAATGCTGTGACAATCCTAACACAATTTTGATTAGTCCTGGGCCCCGGCAGCAATCTACTTTGGTAACTCAGACACTGAATGAATATACCAGGTTTTAATTCTAGGGCTAATGAGAAATGATTGGCATAGTTTGATTGTTGGCGACCTTTTAGTGTTGCTTCTAGTGGAAAATCACCACAAAAATAACATTTTAGCCCTGAGAGAAGTTCAAAATGGTTATTGGTTCCAAAGAATGGTGAAGTTTGACCTGCAAGTATCATTTCAGTTTACTTTTCAAAGTCATTTTTGCTACCTACTTGTACAAAGCATTTGCAACTGCAATTGGGGAATGATACACATACAACAGAATTCTTTGAAATGAAATAGAAAATCATTATGAGGAGATCAATATACCAAAAGCCCAGACTTAACCTCTTCATCACAAGGAAACTCAGATAAAAAATATTTTTACAAGTGCAACTCTTTTTTAGGAAAAACAGATTTTCTTGATATCATAGTCTATGCTTTATTTATTTATGAGACTATATAAAGTTTACTAAGTCATATGAATATGCCACAAAATGGAAATGTCTTCACTAATTGTTTTACTAAAGTTATACATAGGTTATTTATTTGAATGTATGATATAAATATTAAAAAATAATTAATGACTATTTATATACAGATGTAGATTACTAAAATTACCAGAGATGAAGTCCTCTGGTGATACACAAAAAAGCTGTTAAAAGACTAAAGTTATATGTCTATGCAAGACCTCTAATATTGTGGGGATTTATAACTGGATTTTTCATAGGTTTTAAAAATCTGTGTAATATTATTTCCCAAGTGCTAAGGACAGAACTGTTTTGCTGGTTAAAACACATGAAAGTAGTTTTTGTGATGGTGTTTTCTTCCTAGGAAATTATAAAACCTAAACTTTTTCTCTCAGGTAAAAAGAATTATCTCTTCTTTATACAAATCTCAGCTATAGGACATCAGCAGACAAGACCTCAAGGTTGTTCCGGAAACACCATCTATAAATGCTCAGTGCTGAGCGGCCTCATTGATTCCCATGACATTCATAAAAAATACAAACTCCTGCCTTGGCTAACTCCTTAGAGATTTGCCTTTGTTCTTTACCTCACAGACATGGTATGAAAATGTATTTCCAAAAGGTCCACAGAAGAACTGTAAAATTTAGATTTGATAACCTAAGTAGGGAGAGGACTTGGGAGTTTTCTTGGTAAGAGGCCCAGATGTTCTTAGAATCTGGATCTAAGTAATGTCAGTGGCCACCTAGTCACCTTGGTATCTTATCCAGCCATGGCATTTCAACGTCCACCATCTATGCTAAAACTCTCACCTTACTGCTTCTACTTGATAGGTGATTTTTGCTTTCTAAAATTTGGGGGAAATTATGTTGATGGAAAATTGATTTTAATCCAGTCCCAAAAATTAAAGAGAAGACACTTTTTTTTTCTTCCTCTTCACTTAAGTATCACGACTAGTCATTACTGACTTGTGCTTCTCCTAGGATATTACCTCCTTTCTGGCAGCCAACATATGACTGGGTCATGGGATTTTAGGTAAATATTGGATGATATGACTACTGGTAGTGGACCCAGAGTCCATCAGAGAAGGCCAGGTGAATAGAATTAAAGTTATAAATTCAATTATAGGAAAAATTAGCCCATATAAAGAAATTTTAAAACAAAAAGATATTTCAAAATAAAAAACTCCTGGACTGATTTGTCTTAATGACTGAAATTTTAAGTGAATTATTTATAAACAACCAAGATATTATTTTTACAAAATTTCTGTTAAATTCGTTACTTGCCCCACTAGCACAGGAGGAGCAGAACTACATATCAAGTGGATTAACAACTGTTACACACTACCCTGAGGAGGTGGATTACATACCGGGACGTACTGAGAAGGAAAGGCCTAGAACAGTGATGGTGAACCTCTTAGAGCTTTCAGTGAGACAGACAGCCCGCTGTGGTTCACGTGTCATAGGTTTACCACCACTGGTCTAGAATAGGTCTCTGACCAGAAAAGGCAGGGCTGGGAAAGATGTCTCAATGTGAGATGCTAGACAGCCAGAAGACACCCACAAGGACAAGGTACCTGGGCAGGGGGTTTGGGGGCTGACCGGGAAAATGAAATGAACCATAGGATAGAGGCAAAAGAACCAAGGGCAATCTTAGCCCACTTGCCAACTTGCCAAGATGAATCACTAGTTGTCAAGAAGTCAATGCTGCATTTCACTGAAAATCAGTCCGAAATTTTCTCTGAGGAGCTGTGGCTAATTTCTTGAATCTTTTAACACACTCTGCACATTCTTTTTCCCTTACCACAGTCATAAACTGATTAAAAAAAAAAAATGTGCTAATTGTCAACCTACCAGTAGATCGATCAATCCCCCACTCCTGCTTGACCTAGATTTAACCTAGTTGTCAGCTGGTCAGGAATCCACATCCAACAATCAGTGGAAACAGCAGCCTCAGTGAAAGTCTGACCTCTGCAATAGCTACATTTCTTCATCTAGATCCCCAAGATCATGAAGCAATGAGCCAGGCATAGTGGCTCACACCTGTAATCCCAGCACTCTGGAAGCTGAGGCAGAAAGATCATTGCAAGTTTGAGACCAGCCTGAGCTACAAAGTGAGTTCAAGGCCGGCCTGAACTGCATAGCGAGACCCTGTCTCAAAAAGACAAAAAAGAAGCAAGCATTTTAATTTACTAAATTTTATGCTAATTATCTTGTCAAAGAATCTCAACTGCCACACAGGACCTGGTCTTCTTATTTTAAAAGAGAAGTGTAGTTATATTCTAGTTCACCCTCAACTAGTAGGTAGGCACATAATTTATCAGGAGTGGATGCAGATTTGGCATGATGTCTACTTGCCTCCATTCCCAAAACTCTCCCATGAAATAACACACCAGAAATGATGGCTAGAAGAACCTGCCTTTATCCAACATGCTATGGGTGCCCTGTTGGAGTGGTGCTTCACTGAGGTTAAACTCAGAATCATTGGTGCAGTTATCATGCCTTTCTGAAGTCACACATGCACTTGGGAGAAAGCATATGGTAGGTAAATACACATTTGAGGGTCCTTAGGGATTTACTTATTTACCCCTGTTGCTGCATTGGATTTACAAATACATATGTAAGTCCAGATTATGATATCAAATCCTATGTATGCATTAATTATAATTTAAATTGAAAGAAGGCTTTAAAACAGATTTGCCCTAGCACTATTTTTTTTTTTTTTTTTTTTTTTTTTTTTTTTTTT